TCATAATGTTCATTTAATATGCATATAACATTAAATTCCCCTAATGCCATTTATAAGCTTTGGTGATTGAAAGATTGTAAACATTTATACATTTAATATAACTGATTTAAAAAAATTTTTTTTTTAATTTTTATTTTTTTGAGACAGGCTGTCGCCCAGGCTGGAGTGCAATGGTGTGACTGTGGCTTACTACAGCCTCAACTCCCAGGCTCAGGTGATCCTCCCACCTCAGCCTCCCAAGTAGCTGGGATTACAGGCGTGTGCCACCAAACCCAGCTAATTTTTATATTTGTTGCAGAGACAGGGTTTCGCCATGTTGCCCAGGCTGGTCTTGAACTCCTAGGCTCCAACAATCTGCCCACCTTGGCTTCCCAAAGTGTTAGGATTACAGGTGTGAGCCTGTAATCCATGCCTGGGCCCCTGATTTTCTTAAGCATTTCTAATGCAGAACAGAGCAGATAAGCACACTCTTCTAAGCACCAGAACAACTCTTGGAAATTGAATTAATTAAACTACGGTAAATCAAGTTGTTTTAAATAGTCCAGTACTCTACAAAGTTAAATTCTTTTATGCCTTTCAATGTAAAAGCATCAGTCTGTAATCATATTTCAGATTGAAACCACAGGGAAAACTGACATTCTCAAATATGTTAGATTCTCTTAAACATTACAGAGGTTTTAAGTAACACATCAGATTGTCTTGAAGCTAAAGTATTTTCCCATACTTCATACTTCTACATAATCATTTCAACTATATGTCTTTTGTGATCATATGATGAAGAAATTTGTATTTTTTCCATCAAATTTAAGTGAACTCCTGAGGGATTTCACTGGAAAAAATATGATAGCAAGTAATAAAGAAATGCAAATACAAATAAAATACCATTTTTTTTCTTTTACAGGTGTTGAAAATTTTTTAATGTATAAGATTGATTATACTCTAGAGAAACAGGCAGTGTCACTATTGGGAGTACAAGTGACTGTAAACTTTTTGGAGAAAAGTTTGGCAATTTGGCCCAAATTTTAAATTATTTTTTCCTTTGGCAGAAAAAATTCCACATCTAAGGATCCTACCAAAACACCTCTTTGCGGATCAATGATATTTGTATAAAGATGTTCATTGAAACATTGTTTATAATAATAAAATAATGGAAACAACCCAAATGCCCATTAAGAGTATAATGGTTAAATAAATGTGGTACATCATGTATGTAGCAACATTGAAAGGAGCCTCATATTTAACACATAGAATGGTTCATAGCAGGTAATGGGCTTGCAATAAATATAAGTGAATGAATAAGGCATCAAAAGTAACTTACGATATGGTTGGTTCTGTTCATCCATTCATTCATTCATTCAGCTAGTATTCTGTGGGGAAGTAATGGTGAGAGAACAGATCCCGGTGCTCCCTCACAAAACATATAATCTATTAGAAAAGATAGTCATTAACGCCAGGCGTGGTGGCTGAAGCCTGTAATTCCAGCACTTTGGGAGGCCAAGGTGGGCAGATCAGTTGAGGTCACGAGTTTGAGACCAGCCTGGCCAACATGGTGAAACCCCATCTCTACAAAAATACAAAAATTAGCCGGGCATGATGGTGGGTGCCTGTAGTCCCAGCTACTTGGGAGGCTGAGGCAGGAGAATTGCTTGAAGCTGGGAGGCGGAGGTTGCAGTAAGCAGAGATCATGCCACTGCACTCCAGCCTGGGCAACAGAGCAAGACTCAGTCTAGAAAAAAAAAAGAAAGAAAAAAAACAAGATAGTCACTAATTTTTATAAATTTCAAATAAGGCACAAACTAATATGAGTTGTGAAGAAAAAGGACACAGTATTATGTGGTTCTATGCATGGGCAATTTGACCTAGCCTGGGAAATTGAAAGTAAACAAATGTATTGTGTATTATATACATATATTAGTAAATACATTGAAATCCTACCACTGGGAGGCCAAGGCGGGCAGATTGCCTGAGCTCAGGAGTTCAAGACCAGCCTGGGCAACCCGGTGAAACCCCATCTCTACTAAAATACTAAAAATTTGTCTGGCATGGCAGAATGTGCCTGTAGTCCCAGCTACTCAGGAAACTGAGGCAGGAGAATTGCTTGAACCCAGGAAGCAGAGGTTGCAGTGAGCCAAGATCGTGCCACTGCACTCCAGCCTGGGCAACAGAGCGACACTTTGTCGCCGCCCCCCCCCCCCCCCCCCCAAAAAAAAAAAAAAAAGATTTGGTTGGATCTATGCCATATCTAACAATGGTTTTAGGATTGCAATAGGACTAAGTGTGACTTTTACCCTCTACATAAGACATCCCTGTGTTATTTGAAATTTTCTTTCAATAAGTATGTCTTGCTTTTGTAATCAGAAGTATAAATGTATACATTTTAAGCCCAAATAAACAGTTTCACACTATATCAGTGGTTCCCAAGGCAGCTGGGGAAGAAGGGTGAATTTACATGATTGCTGGAGAGGAAAAAAAAATGGTAGAGCTGGGGCTGGTATGGTAGGCAGAATTCTAAGATAGCCCCCAAGTTTCTTGCCACCTTGTGAACACACCTCAGTTATTCAATCAAACGCTAACCTAGGTGTGGCTCTCAGAAGATTTTCCAGATATGGTAAAAGCTTTTAATCAACTGACTTTAATATAGGGAGATTATTGTAGCTGGGCCTGACCTAATCAGGTGAGCCTTTAAAAGAAGTCAGAAGTCAGATTCAAGCAGAAGAGATTCTCCTGCTGCCCTTGAAGTAGCGGCAACTAAGTTGTGCATCACCCATGGCAAGAACCTGAGAGTGCTTTCTAAGAGCTGAGAGGGTCCCCAGCTGACAACCACAAGATAGCAAGGACCTCAGACCTCAACCACAAGAAACTAAAATTCTTTTTTATTTTTTTGAGACGGAGTCTCGCTCTGTCACCCAGGCTGGAGTGCAATGGTGAGATCTTGGCTCACTGCAACCTCCACCAGCCAGGTTCAAGTGATTCTTGTGCCTCAGCCTTGCAAGTAGCTGGGATTACAGGTGCCAGCCATCATATCCAGCTAATTTTTGTATTTTTAGTAGAGATGGGGTTTCACCATGTTGACCATTCTGGTCTCAAACTCCTGACCTCAAGTGATCCACCCACCTTGGCCTCCCAAAGTGCTGGGATTACAGGTCTGAGCCATCGCACCCGGCCAAGAAACTAAAATTCTATCAAAACCGAAATTCTATGAACAACCAATGAGCTTGGAAAAGTATCCCAACCCTCAGAGATCACAGCTTTGGCTGATACCTTGAATTCAGCCTGATAAAACCCTGATCCATTCTTGGACTCCTGACTCAAGGGAATTGTGAGATAATAAATGTGCATTCCTTTATGTCAATGATTTGTGCTAATGTGTTACACAATAATAGAAAACAAATACAGTTGATATTGAGAAATAAATTGCTTTTAACCTGCAACCTGACATTCTTGTCCCCAGCCTGATGCTTAGGAGTTAAAAAAATGTATATATGTTGAGAAGTGGAGGAAATGCTGTACTATCTGATAGGTAACTAGGTAATGATATAAAACTTGTGTCCATATGACTGTATGCCCTCAATACCATCTTGCCTACAAATTAATTTTTCCTCATGACTGTAAGTGACTGTGCAATTGCCTTGACAACATTGACCTTTCCAGAAATATTTTTATCAGTCTTTGCTTTAGGGATGTAACTAATACTGGCCATGAGCATTTTCTGTTCCTCTGTCAGTCATAGTTGTTGCAACCCTGTAGAACTTATGTAGACTTTTTTTTTTTTTTTTTTTTTGAAACAGTCTCGCTCTGTCGCTCACTGAAACCTCTGCCTCCAGGGTTCAAGTGATTCTCCTGCCTCAGCCTCCTGAGTAGCTGGGATTACAGGTACCTGGCACCCACCTGGCTAATTTTTTTTTTTTTTTTTTTTTGAGACAGAGTCTCACCCTGTTGTTCAGACTGGAGTGCAGTGGTGCAAGCTCAGCTCACTGCTACCTCGTGGGTTCAAGCAATTCTTCTGCCTCAGTCTCGCAGGTAGCTGGGATTACAGGCGCACACCACCACGCCCAGCTGATTTTTGTATTTTTAGTAGAGACCAGGTTTTACCGTGTTGGTCAGACTGGTCTCGAACTCCTGGCCTCAGGTGATTCGACTGCCTTAGCCTCCCAAAGTGCTGGGATTACAGGCATGAGCCACCGCGCCTGGCTAATTTTTGTATTTTTAGTAGAGATGGGGTTTCACCATGTTGGTTAGGCTGATCTCAAACTCCTGACCTAGTGATCCACCCTCCTCAGCCTCCCAAAATGCTGAGATTACAGGCGTGAGCCACCGCGCCCGGCCATTAGCCTCTCTTCTGCATGTGCTCTCAGTGTCTTCCCTTAACCAACCTCCGTGTTTTCTTCCTCCCTTAATTCCTTATAGTCTCCGTCATGTTGGCAAAATCTAAAGTTGTGTCCTCTAAGAAAAAGAGTCTCAGACTCTTATATAAAGCCTTTTCTTTTTTTTTTTTCTTTCTTTTTTTTTTTTTTTTTGAGACGGAATCTTGCTCTGTCGCCCAGGCTGGAGTACAGTGGTGTGATCTCCGCTCACTGCAAGCTCCGCCGCCTCCTGGGTTAACGCCATTCTCCTGCCTCAGCCTCCCTAGAAGCTGGGACTACAGGCGCCCGCCACCACACCCTGCTAGTTTTTTTGTATTTTCAGTACAGACCGGGTTTCACCGTGTTCGCCAGGATGGTCTCAATCTCCTGACCTCGTGATCCACCCGCCTCAGCCTCCCAAAGTGCTGGGATTACAGGTGTGAGCCACCATACCCAGCCTCTTGCTGATTTTAAATACCATTAAATGTTAACTTTAAATTACATTAAATGTTAACCTGTTATGGCCAGTTGTTTTTTCATTTCTGTACACTACCAGCCAAAATAAAATTTAAGAATGTTTTATTCAGAGAAAAGGAAATTACATCAGAAACTGCAGTGAAGTATGGAATTGAGGATTTTTTTTCCCCTTTCCTTTAGAGTATGAAGCTGAGCAGCCTCCCTTTCCAGAAGGATATAAAGTCAAACAGGAACCTGTGATTACTGTAAGTATTACCCAGGCCTCAACCTAAGCAAGAAGCTCTTAAATGAGAATAGCACTGATGGCCTGTGAATGTCACACAGTGTCACTGAGTTCAGGAGGTGGAAAAGGGAAGGCATTGGAGCGAGAACCAGAAACTTGGGGCCAACCCCAGCTCTAATACTAACAGTGTGACTTAGAGGGCATCACATAACCTCTTTGAGCGTTAGTTTCAGCATCTATCCGTCTATCTGTTTGTCTGTCTGTCTGTCTATCTATCTATCTATCTATCTATCTATCTATCTATCTATCTATCTATCTATATCTTATCTATCTATCTATCTAATCTATTTTTGAGACAGGCTCTTGCCCTGTCGCCCAGGTTGGAGTGCAGTGGCACAAACTCAGCTCACTGCAACCTTAGTAGCTGGGACTACAGGCACCCGCCACCATGCCCGGGATTTTTTTGTTGAGATGGGGTTTCACCATGTTGTCCAGGCTGGTCTCAAACTCCTGACTTCAAGTGATCTGCCTGCCTCGGGCTCCCAAAGTGTTGGGATTACAGCCGTGAGCCACTGCGCCCAGCCAGATTTCTGTATTTATTAAATGGGACAGATAATCCTTGACTAACTAACAGGATTTCTGTGGTGCTCACATGAGATCCTGGATGAGAAAAGCCTTTGTAGTGGATCTAACACCATGTCCATGTGAGGGGCAGTTGCAGATAGACCAAGTTTCTCTGCATGCCAGGGTAGACAAGATGAAGACTGTGCTAAGGAGAGAGGGCTAATGACAGGGCAGCCAGGAAGAGAGGCCCTCATGAAGTCTACCTTGGAATTAGATGGGAGCTTGATGGAGTTTGAATTTTTTAAAAAGCAAGGCTCTGAGAGATGAAGGGACTTGAGCGTGGTAACACAGATGGAATCAAAACCTGTTTCTCGACTTCTAGTAACTTCCATCACTGCAGCTGCCTGTGACAGAGACATTGTGTCTAAAAACTTTATTCTGTGATTGTTCTTTTTCTCCTAACATCCTGTTTTTGCTTTATGGATGCAATTCTTTTTCAGATTTCTCTGCCGATACAAGTCACAGTTCTCTTCCCTGAATTCTCTGTGCTTCTTCCAGGGTCAGCTGTTGTGACAATAGATGTTGGTCTTTGTCTTTTGTGCTATGATCTTCTTGACCTGTATAAAGAGATTTGATTGTTTATTTAAAATGTACAATGGTCCTGAGTGGATTTTTCTATATAGCTGGTATATTAGGGTTCTCCAGAGAGACAGAATCAGTAGGCTATATAGAGAGATACGTATATGAGAGGGGATTTACTGGGGTAATTGGCCCACATGATTATGGAGGCTGAGAAGTCCCACATTAGGCTGTCTGCGAGCTGGAGAACCAGGGAAGCTGGTAGAGTGACTCAGTCCAAATCCAAAAGCCTCAGAGCCAGGAAGAAACAACAGTGTAACTACCAGTCTGAGGGCCTCTGTTTATGATATATGACAGGGTTACATGGAAATCTAGTTGGACTTAATTAGCCTCTGAGAGCCCCCAGGAACCACTGATGAGAACCCTGGAATCTAAAAGCCAGAGGACCTGGAGTTCTGAGGTACAAGGGCAGAAGAAGGGCGTCCTGGCTCCAGAAGAGAGCAAGAATTCAGCCTTTCTCAACTTTTTGTTCCTTCCAGGCCCTCAGCCAATCCAGTGGTGCCTGCCCACATTGAGGATAGATCTCCTCTCAATCCACCAACGTAGACACCAGTTTCTTCCAGAAAACGCTTGCAGACATACCCAGACATAATGCTCTGCTAGTTACCTAGGTATCCCTTACTCCAGTCAAGTTGACACTGAAAATTAACCATCACAGTATCACGGCTGGTGTGGTTTTCTCCTACTGCTGTACCTGTGGGTTTGTTTTCTGGATGGGTCTCTTCTATGAGTAGCAAAACGCTGACTGAGTGCTCATGAAGGGTGGTTGTCCACTGGCCAACTGTTCTTCAGAGTGAACAGGCAGAAAGTCGGTATTTTGGGATTGGGCGGCAGTGGCGGGGGGGTCTCTAAATCAATTTTTTTTTCTTTGTTTTTGAGACAGGGTCTCACTCTGTCATCAGGCTGGAGTGCAGTAGCGCACTTCCCCGGCTCCAGCGATCTTCCCGCCTCTTCCTGCCAAAGTGCTGGAACTACAGCTGTATGCCACCACTGCCAGCTAATTATTTTTTAATTTTAGTAGAGATGAGGTCTCACTATGTTGCCCAGGCTGGTCTCGAACTCCTAGGCTGAAGCCATCTGCCCTCCTTGGCCTTCCAAAGTGCTGGAATCACAGGCATGAGCCACCACGCCCAGCCCAATTTTTTCTTTTTCTTTTCCTACCATCTTGGTGCCCTAAGTGGTTCTAAGTGTTCTACTCCTTTTCAGGTAGTTTCATTGGTTTACAGAAGAGTTCCTGGAGAGGAGGGCGAGCTGGAGATCCAACTGGTGTGAACACAGCTTTATGATATTGAGGGAACAGAAAGAAGCCTGAGGGGAGTGTGGGCAGCAGGCCAAGTTAGCCCAGCCGGATTTCCACCCAGCCTCGTCGTGTGTCATTCCATTCTTGTTCCCACCCTGTACAGTGCCTGTCAACTTGAGTGTTTAGTCCCTTTGGGATCTGATGGGAAGGTGGATGTCTATATTCTGGGGCAGCCTCCTCCTGTGACTGTTACTTCCACTCTTGCTGCTGCTGCTTTTTTTTTTTTTGAGATGGACTTTCACTCTTGTTGCCCGGTCTGGGGTGCAATGGTGCAATCTCAGTTCACTGCAGCCTCCATCTCCTGAGTTCAAGCAGTTCTCCCCCCTCAGCCTTCCAAGTAGCTGGGATTATAGGCCCCCTCACCACGCCTGGCTACTTTTTTGTATTTTTAGTAGAAACGGGGTTTCACCATGTTGGCCAGGCTGGTTTTGAACTCCTGACCTCAGGTGATCCTCCTGTCTCAGCCTCCCAAAGTGCTGGGATTACAGGTGTGAGCTTCTTGCTTCTTGAGTGAGGCTTCATCCCTGGTGTTTTGGATATGTTTACCAATCTCTCATCCGCAGATGGTCCTCCTTTTCTCTATCACAGGTTATGCCTTGTCGTTTATAGGTGTCTCAGGAGGGAAGGGAGACAAAGATCTGTGCTCAGTGTACCCCCTTGAACCTTAAAGTCTGATGTAGAATTTTATTCCTTCATAAGGTTATACAAGAAAATACAATTATTTAAGCTGTTTGAATGAATTGCCTCCCCTCCCCTGTCTGCCTCCAGGTTGCGCCAGTAGAGGAAATGCTTTTTCATGGCTTCAGTGCAGAGCACTATTTTCCGGTTTCCCATTTCACCATGATCTCACATACACCCTGTCCTCAAGATAAATCGGAAACAGTCAACCCAAAAACATGTGAGTAAGAGAGATGCCATCTTTTATAATTTGGGGCTTTTAACATTGCAGAACCACAGGGTGGGTGTGGAGGCGGACAGATAGACTTCAGGGAGACCACATACATAAGAAAGAATGTGTTTTTGTTTTATTTTTAAGAGAATGTCCTTCATTTCACTGATTTATCTTTAAGGTTAAAAATGTAATTAAGATGATAAGTAACAAAAAGTGTACTTTGATTTTACATTCAATAAAAAGTAGGAAAAGAGAGCAGTAAACAAATGTAGCCGGCTGTGATGGCTCATGCCTGTGGTATCAGCACTTTGAGAGACCAAGGCAGGAGAATTACTTGAACCCAGGGAGACCCCATCTCTACATGTCTACAAAAAATTTAAAAAAAAAAATTATGACCGGATGCGGTGGCTCATGCCTATAATCCCAGCACTTTGGGAGGCTGAGGCGAGAGGATCTCTTGAGGTCAGGAATTTGAGACCAGCCTGGCCAACATGGTGAAACCCTGTCTCTACTAAAAATACAAAAATTAGCCGGGCGTGGTGGCAGGAGAATCACTTGAACCTGGGAGGTGGAGGTTGCAGTGAGCTGAGATCATGCCACTGCACTCCAGCCTGGGCAACAGAGTGAGACTCCATCTCAAAAAAAAAAAAATTGCCAGGTTTGGTGGTGCACACCTGTAACCCTAGCTACTTGGGAGGCTGAGGCAGGAGAATCAATCGCATTTGGGAAGCGGAGGTTGCAGAGAGCTGAGATTGAGCCACTGCCTTCTACCCTGGGCAACAGCGAGAAAAAAATAAAAAATTAGCTGTGCATGGTGGCAGGTACTTGCAGTCCCAGCTACTTGGGAGGCTAAGGTGGGAAGATTGCTTGAGCCTGAGAGATCTAGGATGCAGTAAGCTATGATCGCACCACTGCACTCCAGCCTGGGCCACAGAGTGAGACTCTGTCTCAAAAAAAAGTAAAAAGTAGAAGAAAACATCATCATGCTACCCTGCTTTGTGTGTGGAAGCCAGAGGTGTAGACTGCAGATCTGAGTTATAGTTCCTTGGGCCCTCAGTAGTACCAGACCCTCTCATACTGGTTTGTTCTGCGTTCTGCATGCCTTGGGCCTTGGCTAACGACTGCCTTTATTACTGTGATCATAAGACCTTACCCATTATACTCTCACTACCAATTCCTCTCTGGTCCCAATTCCTACCACATTCCCGTTGTTTTTGTCCATCCGGCCACACTGGCCTCCTTGATGTTCCTGGCTTGGGGCCATAACAAGCTGGTGGACCCAGCCTTATGTAGGATACTTCCGACATCTTCACCAGACTATAGAAGCTCAGAGGGACATTTTAAGTTACTTTAGTTATACAGCCCAGCTCTGCAGTCTGGAGCAAAATATAACATCCAAGATCATGTGATTGAATGGACAGTACCTTTTTCTGGCTCAAAAGTAAACATTTCTCCCAGATTAGCTTGGGCCACTGGGGATTTTCAGTGGGAATTTTTGTTTGTTTGTTTTAGGTTCTCCCAAAGAATATTTGGAAACTTTCATCTTTCCTGTTCTGCTTCCCGGAATGGCTAGCCTGCTTCACCAAGCGAAGAAAGAAAAATGTTTTGAGGTCAGTTATTTGGCAGGATTTCTTTATTTTAAGATTCTCAATCATTATTATCAGATGATAGCTCATTATCTTGGTACCATCAAGTTGTTCTCCAGATGACCTCTTTGGGAGGGAAAGCCTGTGTTTGGGGTCACTTACCCCGTTCCAGCCACACCATCTAGTTGTGCACATACATGCGCTACCATCTGTCTGGCCACTTGGACTCCGGAGAGCTTTTCCGCCTTGCTTGGCCTCCTGCCTGCCCTTCTCCTGTGCAGTTTGGCATCCACCAGGTTTCTTGGGTCTTCAGCTTCTGTTTATTACATGCACTGATTAAAGCTCTCCTTGGCCAGGCACAGTGGCTCATGCCTATAATCCCACACTTTGGGAAGCTAAGGTGGGAGGATTACTTGATGCCAGGAGCTCAAGACCACTGGGCAACATAGTGAGACCCTCATCTCTAAAAAAAAAATTTTTTTAAATTAGCTAGGTGTGGTGGCGCATACTTACAGTCTCAGCTACTTAAGAGGCTGAGGCAGGAAGATCCCTTGAGGCCCGAAGTTTGAGGTTACAGTGATCCATGATCCCGCCACTGTACTCCAGCCTGGGCAACAGCAAGACCCCCAACTCAAAAAAAAAAAAAATCCCACAAAACTCTGCTTACTTCCTACTTGACTCTGGATTGATTGTTCCCCCTGACATCTCTCTACTCCATGCCAACTGTTATGAATGTAAACTGCTTGCAGAGAGTCTTGGCAAACAGTAAGTGCTCAGTAAATGACAGTTAACATTGCACTGCAGAGAATCAGCTTCTCTGCAGGGAAGTTTTAGTTTAGTATTTTTGAGACAGGGTCTTGCTCTGTTTTCAGGCTGGGGTGCAGTGGCATAATCATGGCACACTGCAGCCTCAACCTCCAGGGCTCAGTTGATCCTCCCACCTCAGCTTCCTGAGCCGCTGAGACTACGGGTATGCGCCGCCATGCCCGGCTAATTTTTTTTTTTTTCTTTTTTTTTTTTTAGTAGATACTGGGCAAAAACTCAGTGAACTTGGTACAAACCGAATTCCAGTGCTGGCCTCCCCCCACGTGGATACCCTTAGAGACGCCCTCTTTTCCGTAGTTCACAGGATACTTTGGGTGTATGTGTTCCCTGCACTGTTTTGAATTCTAGAATTTTGGATGATCCAGATGAAGAGAGTAAAATTACAGCATTTATTATTGACCAGGCACTCGCTGTGTGCCAGGCACTTTGCTGAATGCTGTATCTTCCATTATTGCAATTGCCCTCCCCAGCCATGTGAGCTTCTTTCTATTATTGTTATCTGCACTTTGCAGAGGAGAAAGTAGAGGGACACAGAGGCCTGAAAAATGATCAAGAGTGAATGGCAGAGTTAGGACTCAAATCCAGATTAAATGATTCAAAATAATACTAAAGGCCGGGCACAGTGGCTCATGCCCATAATCCCAGCACTTTGGGAGGCCAAGGCAGAAGAATTGTCTGAGCCCAGGAGTTCGAGACCAGCCTGGGCAACAAAGTGAGACCCAATATTTACAAAAAAAAAAAAAAATAGAAATTGGCCAGGGATTGTGGTGCATACCTGCAGTCCCAGCTGCTCAGGGGGCTGAAGTGGGAGGATCAGCTGAGCCCTGGAGGTTGAGGCTGCAGTGTGCCATGATCATGCCGCTGCACCCCAACCTGGAAACAGAGCAAGACCCTGTCTCAAAAAGAAAAAAAAAAGATACTAAAAAAGTTGGCAGTAATTACAGTGTAAACCTCAATCAGTTTGACACATCCTGAGGTCTATAAAATTATCCATAGTTAATGATACCACCAAAGTAGTTGCCCTTCAGCACAGGGTCCCCATCTGAGAAGAACTGCCTACTGCCATGTTGGTACTGCCATATACTGAGGAGATAAGGTTTTCCTATGTTCTAGCAAATACTTGATTTTTCCTCAGCAATGCCTTGACAGTATCCTGCCCCACTTGCCTCTTAATCACTCCATATTATACCTCCCCCTAATTGCCTGCCACTTAATCCACTCAGCATAACATTCCTTTGACAGGCCTCACCATGACATTTGTGTCTTTACTTGAGGCAGAAATGGATGATGAGACATTGATCAGAATTTGGGTAGCACGCTCAGGACGGGAAGAATTTGGGATACACCTCTGGGCTGTGGTTCACCATTTGACAACAGTGGATCCACATAATGAAGTCACTAGCCCTCAGCCTAGCTTTCAAGGCTCTTCATTTGTTCATTGGTTCCTTCCTTCCTTCCTCCCTCCATCCCTCCCCCGCAGTGCTCCCCTTCCCGATGGTACCCTCCACCCAAGCAGAACCACTCGGAGTTCGCTGCACCAGCCCCCACCTCACGGCCTCTGTGCATCTGCTCCTGCTTTTTTTTAGAAAAAAATCCCTGAGCTCCTCTTCTGTGCATATTTAACTTCTACTTGTTTTTCCAAACTCAGCTCCATAACTTCTCTCTCAAGCTTCCAGTTCCCTGCTGGGCTCAAACTAGAAGTAATTGATCCCAGCTCTCAGATTTCAGAGTATTTCATCTGTTCCTCATTTTATGGCAAATTAAGACATCCTTAATTAAGACATTCTTAGCCCACATATACTTAATTTTATGCATGTCTGTCTCCCCCCATATTTTAAGTTCCTTAAGGACAGATTCTCTGATTTATTTTTATATATCTAGTCAATGCTACCCAGTGCCTAGCACATGGTGAACATAGAGTTGGCCCTTGATAAATGTTAAATAAGTGAGTGCGTGATTATATACCAGGGAGTATCACTATTACTATGTCCTTGACCAAAACCCAGCTTCCTTCTATCTGGGAAGGCTGTTCTATTGGACTCATCCCTGGAGAAATTCCCTGGAGGGGTGAGGGAAGAAGATATGCATCTATTTCATGAGTTTAGTTGATGGGGGAGAGCAATTGGGGTCCAATGGCACAGCCTGACCCCCCACCTCATATATTAATTATACAAGTAATTAGTAAATTGGGCCTTGATTTATAGCTTAGCAGTTAAGAGCAAGTCCACCTCCATCCCAACTGGCGGCACAGCCCAAGACAAGTCATTTCATCTTTTTGAGCCATTATCACTTCCTTCCATGTAAAATGAGGCCGATCATAGCACCTGCTCATGGGATTATCATGCTGATGAAATGAGGTAGCTCATGTAAAGTGCTTAGGCCAGTCCCTGGAACCTAGGAAGAACTCAATACATGTTAACTTATTTATCTCAGTGATACAGTGGTACAGGTACTTCCCAGATAGGGTGGGTTACACCCGCTACCTGAGTGACTTCACTCTTGTTCCTGGGCCATGTGGAGTCCTGACTCAGGACTTGGTCCCAGTTCCCAGTAAAACCACCCAATTCCACAGTGATCTTGCAAGGAAGGTTATTTTGTGGGTCCTCTCATGGGAAGGTGGGGAAGAGGACCCCCACCTTTGTTGGCACTTATCAAGCAGTACTTAATTAATCCTCTCTAGAAGCATTTCTGACCCTCCAGGAACCCCCTCCCCATGCTCACTCTGCAGACCCCTCCTGGATCCTGAACAGTTCAGCTGTGGCTCTCAGCTTGCATGGCCCACTCAGCAAGGCCAAGCCCAGCATGCAGTTTTCCCTCCTCTTTTAAATGCAATTCGGCCATTATGTAGCCCTTGTGGGTGGAACTGGGGGTGGGGGCTTCACATTTCTCACCCAACAAAGACACAGTTGTAAGGTTTTCCTCATTGCTTTGTTGGAAATCCTAGTTTTGACACGTAGGCCTGGTGAATTCAAATCTGGGGACCTCAGTCCCCACTCTTTCTCCTGATGTGCTACTACAGACATGGTTGTCATATTTGAACCTGGGAAGACCACAATGATCAGATCCCTTATTTTCACTAGCAAGAGAGGGCACTCTGCTGATGAGAACTGTAAACAAAAAAGCTGGTAAAATAAAGTCAGTGATTCAGGTACTGATGATTAAATCCAGGCAATTGCTCTCCTGTCACCTGTGGTTTGACTGCTGCTATGATAATCATCAGAAATTGTATCAAAAGTCAGAGAAGGCCTGGTGTGGTGGCTCATGCCTATAATCCCAGCACCTTAGGAGGCTGAGGTGGGCGGATCCCTGGAGCTTAGGAGTTTGAGACCACCCTGGGAAACGTGGCAAAACCCCATCTCTTTTTTTTTTTTTTTTTTTTTAATTATTGTCTATTTTTTATTTATTTATTTATTTATTTTTTTTGAGACGGAGTCTTGCTCTGTCGCCCAGGCTGGAGTGCAGTGGCCGGATCTCAGCTCACTGCAAGCTCCACCTCCCGGGTTCACGCCATTTTCCTGCCTCAGCCTCCCGAGTATCTGGGACTACAGGCGCCCGCCACATCGCCTGGCTAGTTTTTTGTATTTTTTTTTTTTTTAGGAGAGACGGGGGTTTCACCGTGTTAGCCAGGATGGTCTCGATCTCCTGACCTCGTGATCCGCCCGTCTCGGCCTCCCAAAGTGCTGGGATTACAGGCTTGAGCCACCGCGCCCGGCCGCAAAACCCCATCTCTACAAAACATACGAAAATTAGCTGGGCATGGTGGCACATGCCTGTGGTTCCAGTTACTTGGGAGGCTGAGGTGGGAGAATCACTTGAACCCTGGAAGTTGAGTCTGCAGTGAGCCATGATGGCGCCACTGCACTCCAGCTTGGGTGACAGCACGAGACCCTGTCTCAAAAAAAAAAAAAAAAAAAGTCAGAGGAGCCCTCTCATTGATTTATTGCCCGTCGTTCATCAACACTGGTCAAATGCTTCCTATGTACCACCTTGTTTCACACTTACAATAACCTTCTGAACCAGGTCCTCTTTTTCATCACCTCCCTTTTACCAAGGATGGCCCTGGGACGCAGAGAAGTTGAGCATTACTCAAGGTCACCTAGTAAGCAACAAACAGCACACATCTCCAACCTAGGCCCAGATGATCCTGAAGCCTGGGTTTCCATCCCTCCCAGTAAATGAGAGTTGGAGGCTGTCCTCAA